CCAAGTGAGCTCTTACAAGTTTCTTCTGGAAAGAATGGAAAAAGTGGATTGAAAGTGAGGAAAATATAGCCTTTTCAGTTGTTCTGAAATCACTTGAGCTCAAGCCCAAATTAACCTCATCCATTTGACTGCTAAAGAGTACAGGGATGGAAATGAAACATGGTGAGAAATGGGTCAGCCCACCTCTTCAAAAAGTGATGATCAGAGGAGAAGAGCTAAGAAGTGCCCTGGATATAACATAATAGTTGTGTTTCTAAAGCACCTTAAGGCCTGTGATTACGACAACATAAAAAGACAATATAAAAAATATAAAATTGCTTGGCTTTAAGAGCTGATGCAAAGAGTAGCTAGACCAAAGCATTACCTTTGATTAAGAGATTAGAACTTCTTTAGTCTTAAGACCAGAAAGTTCTGCAGTTCTGGTTCCTGAAAGAGGAGGAACTGCCTCTGTAAATGGCTGACTTACTTGTAGTGAGGCAGCCCACTGGCATAACAGATGCTATAATATCTATTTTCGTGTCCACAGTATCAAGTTCTATGCAAAAGAAAGTCTCAGGATACCAAAAGACAACTGGTCTATTAAAACCCTGTAGCCTTTAGAAACAGAAGACAGCACCCAAGAAGAGAGACTTGTTCATTTACAACATGTATGATAATGTGCTAGACTACTGGAAGATGCATCATTACAGTTTGTAGACTGTGGGACTGCTGGACTTACAAATTCAGTCCAAGGCTGCAACAGCAAAAAAGAGATTTGGAAACTGGATGGATGAAAAGGACACGGAACTGTTGGAACAAGTCCAGAGGAGGGCCATGAGGATGATCAGGGAACTGGAGCACCTCCCGTATGAAGATAGGCTGAGAAAATTGGGGCTGTTCAGCCTGGAGAAGAGAAGGCTGCATGGAGACCTCACAGCAGCCTTCCAGTATCTGAAAGGGGCCTATAGGGATGCTGGAGAGGGACTCTTCATTAGGGACTGTAGTGATAGGACAAGGGATAACGGGTTAAAACTTCAAACAGGGGAAGTTTAGATTGGGTATAAGGAAGAAGTTCTTTACTATAAGGGTGGTGAGGCACTGAAATAGGTTGCCCAAGGAGGTTATGAATGCTCCATCCCTGGCAGTGTTCAAGACCAGGTTGGACAGAGCCTTGGGTGACATGGTTTAGTGTGAGGTGTCTCTGCCCATGGCAGGAGGTTGGAACTTGATGATCTTAAGGTCCATTCCATCCCTAACTATCCTATGATTCTATGATTCTATGAATAAGAGCAACTCCCATTGCTGAACATGTGATACTGGACAAAAAAAATTTGAGGATATGCGTACTGAATGGGTGGAAATTTGGTACTTCTAAAGCCAATAGAATGGTTTTTATTCAGGTATGCAGGTCACAATATACTGTGTTTCAAACTGATGCTGGATTAGCACACTCCTCTCATCCAGTGGGGCAGTCTCATGCTATGATGCTATGACAGGAAAAACAGTCCTGGCAAATAGGTTCTCAAGGAAAAGAAGGTAAAGGAAAATGAGAATGTCGTTGTGACTGCTCCTTAAGAAATACACTGAAAATATTTTCAGAAAAAAATATGATGCACCACAAAAACCAGAGACTTGAACATAATCTAAAGAGCTGAAGGCAGTGCTCAGCTAAGTGCAAGATAAACTATACCAGATGTTTAAGAAGACCTGAAGATATTGGTTGTGTCCTACTGATTTATAGTAAGTGCAAAGTGTTCTGCAACAAGAGGATGTAAACTTACCTTACAGATAATGATAAGGTTCTGGTTTTAAATTCCTGGATGTGTGCACTTCTGCAGGAAGAATGTGCACTTCCTAATCTACAGAATGCACATGGCTCAATATCCAGTTTATAATACCCACCACAGACCTCTGGCATATGGCAGAACCTGACCAGAAGCCCACCTGGAGTATAATTAAGGCTGTACTCCTTTCCACTCTACAATGGCAGTTGCCCAAGGAGTAAAGGAAATGTGAATGAGCTGTATGAACAGCAATATGGTGCAACATTGACTCCTCAGAGAAAAGTCATCCAGTGCCATTTCTTTACTAAGAGTGATCTACACTCTGAATCCAAATGTTTTTCTCTGAACAGGGGAGATAAAAGGACAGCTGGAAGCCCTCAAAGTCTTTCTGAACATTATGAAAAAGGTTGGATTCATAGGAATCATCGGATGGCTCTAAAGGAAGGTTTCTTGTAGATCATCAGAGAAGACCAATTTCTCATCTGCCCCACAAGATCTAGATAAAAAATGCATCTAATAGTATGGAAGGAAGTGTATCTTCTTTTCTATATTCAGGATTTAGCCACAAGTCACTGGCCCACACCATGACTAGTACACAGGCCCCTGTAAGAGTCAGTCTAAGCTACAGAGGTGACCAATCTTGCTGTAGCAAAATGACTGGCATAGGCAGACATGTCTGACAGCAGTCCTGTTCTCATGCAAGCTTAGTCTTAACTTGATATTAAGGGTTATACAGATAATAGACATTTTAATAGCATGCAGAAAAATAACGGGACTAGAAATTATTGTCTCAGGGCTTGCAATTGACAGCATCTTTCATCAGACTACTAAAATTACACAGTCATCTACCCTTCCCATTCTCCCAAGTCTGCTTGCAGAAGGGTCAAAAATCACAGTCCATTAACAGAAGCTGGTAACAAAGTTTCCCGAGGAGTTTTCCAGTACTTTCTAAAATAGCTGTTTAGAATGCATCTTAAGATACATGGAATTCCATGGAAATGCCACTATAATTTTGGAAGGTAATAAGACTCCATTAAGAAAATAAATTGTGGATTTTCTGAGCATCAGAAATCATTAGAAATAAACAAGTAGGAAAGCCCCTATATAATATGCCACCCACCCAGATCTCACTAATTACATTTCTTATCAGCTCAAGTTAATGTTTTTCCAAGGAATCAGTTGTACAAACACAGCATGTCCATAAACTCTTAGCTCTTGGCTGATATCTGCTAATACAGGAGGTATTGAAGAGTTAAAAAATGTATTTTGGAAACTGGATTTTTAATTATCTCCCTAAACCTATTTCTAGAGTCTATGTTTAGAGTGGAACTTACAGACCTGGTATAACTAAGAAGCTTGTTGCTAACTGTAACTTTAAAATTTGTTTGCTTGGACTCTTGTAAACAGTGTGAGCTAATTTTCAGGTTGGATAATTACTTTTATCAGAGGGTGAGGCAGTAACACATTGCACTACATTGCTCGGTCCCTCTAACCAATATCGTATATACTGTTAGTGGCTGGACAAACTCACCATTTAGACGTAGAGGACTGAATTTTCCAGTGGTCTAAAGGTCCTTTGCACATTTGTTTTCCTAATTTCCTGTGAGTCTATGTATCTTATTGAAATTACAGCTAAAAGTATTAACAGCACCTTTAGAAGCAAGATGAACTGCCTCACACCTTTTGTCATATTAATTTAAACAGTGCAACATTAAACATTAGATTGATATGTGTCACTCGCTGGGTCTGCAAACAAAGTGCAAATTAATAATTGTAGATAATGTAACAATACAGGAACATATGCCCAGGTTTTCACAAGAGGGAAAATATTTTACTTCAATGTTACCAAGTAATACCACTGTAGAGTTATAACCCTGTGCCATTTCCTACACACTAGCTGCATGCTGACCTATGATTAAGTGAATAGTTTGTAATTGGTGGCAAGATACAAGTGATATGGAAACTTTTTAAATATTGTCATTTACTGCAACTGTTAGCAATCAACTAAATATTTAAAGTGAGGCTTCTGATTTCCTAAAGGTGGCCCTTCCAGATATGTGTGGATGCTTAAAGCCAGACCTGAGCTTTCCAAGAGCTAGCAGGACAGAGTCTGCAATGGACTCAATGGGTTTAAGACATGAAATAGTGACCAGAAGGGAAGAGAGCAGAACCTTGTCCTGCCAGAATCTCATCTGTGGATGGAGAATCCCTGTCTTGTAAACATTTCATTGGGTACATTTCACCAATGCTCATTATGGTTAAAACCTAGTGGAAATAATTACATGTGGTGAGCAGGGCATCAGAATGGAAAATACAGTGTAACAAACCACCTGAAAACATCCAAACCAATGGCATAATCCACCAATCTGTGCTACCCTGTGCTCTTTGTCACACAAAAAGCGACTGGCAGAGGTCCAGCCACTCTACCCTTTCTATTCCAAAAAGTCATTTACGGCTAATGGCCACAAATGTAACATGAAGAAGACAAGCACAAGGGTGCACAGTGGGTTAACTCATAGCAACAGCTAGAGAGTCATCTTTATTGTTCAATGCACTTGCTCATCTTTTCCACTCTCAGGCTCCAGCAACACAGAGAAACAAACTATGCTTCAGTCTTGAAAGAAGAACATATGGAAGCTCACTAGTCATTAGAGAAAGATCTTTCAGTGGTTACTAACATAGCTGCACAAAGGAAAGAAATTAATTTCTAGTCACAATATTTACATTTCAATCAAAAATATAGGCATTTTTTAAGTAGGCAAACCCAGTTGTTCATTTAATACCACGTTTATAATGGAACATGGTTTTACATCATGATCATGATCATCATCATCATCATCATTCACTTTAAAGCCATTAGCCAGGTCTGCAATATGAGGTTTTTCAGGAATCCTACAGCAACACATACACACAAACACACACAAATCACATGTAAGAAGTAGCTTGCATAAGGTGAGTAAGGTTAATGGCAAAAGCTTCTTTCTATGCAGAAGAAATTGAACATTAAAGCTGCAGCGTTAGGAAAAAAAAGTTTAAAAACAAGAAATGAAGTCGTACAAAAGATGAGAACTTAATGAAATTGGTGACCTTTCCACACAGATGAAGTCAGGTTAAAAAAAAACAAACCAAACCAAACCAAAACCAAAGGGACCAAATGAGACCAAAAGAGAACCTCCCCCCAACACACATACAGACAAAAGTGAGAGCACAACAAAGGAAGTGGAAGAAAAGTGTTACCCATAAGTAGCCGCCGTTTCACCCGCTTGTCCACATCAGCTACTGACGTGGCATTGTACTCAGAACTCTCAATTGCAGCCTCATCCTTCTCTAAAACACAAGTAAGGGACAAACATGGAGCAGTTGGTTAATCACAAGCCCAATTTTCCGCTGCCTAAGACAAGTTTCTTGGCATGGCACAGCCAAAGCCAAGAAGCAAGGCATGAAAGCACTAAATCCCCGTTAGAGAGTTAATTCCCTTTGAGATCCCAGGAAAAAATTAAAGGGTGTTTAGGGAAGGGAGGAAGAAAAGAGGGGGAGAAGGAAGAATGGTCAACTATGAAGAAGTAATTAACCACATACAGGAAGCTGGATTCCTACTGGAGAACAAGACAGCTAACATGAGTGCCCCAGAGAGGTGTTAATGATGAAAATTAAAATTCAGGGATGCCAGTTAAACCAACTACCAAAGACAAACTGCAAAGTGATTCAGGCTAATGGTGGCACCAGGATCTGAAGGTGGTAGATAGAAGACAGAGAGAACTAGAAGAGTCCGGTGATGGATGGGCACGGATGCACCATGGTCTCGTACACATTGACACATTGTGAGGAGAAACCAAACAACAGCATGCAAATTAAACAAAAAACAACAACAAAAATAAACAAACAACAAACCAAACAAACACAAAAAAAGATCAATTTGGGCAGTGCTGGTTGCCTGCTTGTCTATGGAACACTACTAGCTAAACATTCAATGCTAGGAAAGATGTTGCAAGAACAGGGTTTAGTAATTTTATAAAGCATGCAGTAAGCGAGATGATGTCAGCAAAGGTGGTTTTACAAGGTAGTCTCTGATATCCTACATGTAAGAGCTTCATACAGCATATGAGGACTTTAGTTTGGTTATGCTTTGTTAGAAATACACAGAAACAGTCACAGGTGTGGGAAGAGATCATCAGTAAGTGAAATAAAAATAAAGATTTCTGACACAGGAAAGCAATGGAGAAACAGCAGCTGGGTAAATAAAATGATTTATACAGAGAGGGAAATGCTTATTAGGAAAACAAAAACCAAAAAGCAGGTGGGGACTTCCACATGCAGCAAACATAAAAGAATAAAGGGATAAGTCAAGCAAACAAAGACAAAATATGTTAGACAAAGGGTCAACAAGTATTTCTCTGGCATTGCAGAAGTTTGCATTCTTGCAGTGATGCCTGGAATATGTACACCACTGAAGACAGCAAACACTGGAATCACTGAAGTGAGGAGGAGGAGGAGGCTGGCAGGTTTTGTTTGTGGCAACACTACATGGTTGAGTGGTAGCAAGAAGTTGTTTTGTTTTGTTTTTAACAAGTTCTAGATGGGATCAGGCTGCAATAGAGGCTTTTGTTTGAGTTTTTTTATTTTGCTCTGTAAATAATTAATGAACGTCAGTTATCAGACAAGACAGGCAATCAGGAACCATCACCAGAAAGCAGGAATAAAAATGTAAAAAATAAATAAATAAAAGTTTAAAAGTATTCTAAGAGAAAGAACTACTTAGGAGAAAGAAAATCAGCAGAGGCAGTAGTATGTGACTTACACCACAAGACCAAGAAATGTAAATGGAGTTGTATGTATTACATTACAAAAATGGGAAAAAAAAAAGTAAATAACAAGTGCAGTGTACACAGCTTTTAAAATCAGTTTACATGCTGAACAAAAGAAAACATCAATCCAAGGATATCAGTGAATGCTAATAAACAGAAGATCAATTATTCATTCAATAAAACCTGCTCTCAAGGCTCTCGCTCTTGTGAATTCTCTGCATCTGGAACTGCCACAGGCTTCAAGGACAGTTATTTAAGCAGAGGGGCTGTATGACAGCTGTGTGACTAGCTAAGAGATCCTGTAAGCTGAGACAAACCTTGAAACCTTGTGTATACAGTGAGGCAGAGTCCAGTGCTGAACTTTGTTCAGCTCTACCTCTGCCAGGAGAACCCTCACCCTACCACTCAATTTGTGCACTCAGACCCATCAGAAGTGAGTGACACACTGGGCAGCCACAGAGTTTTATACCATGGATCTCACCAAGGGATCACTAAAATCTTCCATGGGTTTCAAGTGCTTTGTCATGCAGTATTGATAAAAGAGAGAAAAGATGATAAATACATGTCCATGCTTTTGTCACCTTAGGAAATTACTAGGAATTCATATCAATTTGCAATAAAAAAACCCCAACCAAACAACCAAACAAAAAAAACAACAACAACAACAACAAAAAGGAAACATGACCACAATGTTAATGAAAACCACTAGAGATTTTAGGTTCTGGTGCATGAGTAAGATTTCCCAAATTTTAATTTGCAGTATGCAAAAATATCCTGTAGGGAAAAGAAAAAAAAAAAAAAAAGAGAAAGCAGAGCAGAAAGAACTGGTGTTAAGCAAATAATGCATTTTATAATCATAAATGTTTGCATAACATCTTCCAAGATGCTCCACCTCTTTAATGCTTTTGCCCTAATGATATTCTGAGTGAAAGCTTACTCACTACATGTGCAGTAATTTTTAGAAACATAAGGTACCTAACAAGGAAGAAAGCTCATAATGATTATCCCTAGTAACAGCTTAGAAAAGAGGATCATTTTCCTCACCTTGCTTGCGCAAGGAAGTCTTGACTCATGAAAGTGAAAGGAAGAGCTGACTTTCATTCATCATTATGAATGTTCTACACCTTTTAACTTCCAAAATGGTTAGAGTTATGAAAAGAAATAAAAGTTACACAGGAGTAACAAAGGAATACCTCATTAACAAACATTTTGACAAAACATGCACAAATGCCCCTCTCTCTAGCTTGACCTTAGCTACTACAGCCAGAAACTGCTGTTGGACGCTCTTCTCAGCAATGGTGCTAAACACCCGTGAGATACAAACACACACGCGCACACATACACACATACATATGTGCACATATATATTCTATGAGGAATACAAGAGGAAATGCATGACAGAGAAGTACTCACCAATGCAGGTACGGCCATCTGAATGTAGGGCATACTTCTGATGACAACCACACACAGGACCAGTATCTGTGTCATCACAGGTGTGTTGGCAGCCTCCATTCCCATAGTTACAGGTTACTAGTTAAGCCCCAAATGAATGTGTATATATATATATATAAATAAAATGACAATGAAACCAATTAGTCTTGAGGGCCCTTCAGAATAAAGAAAAAGCAGTAACATACCAAGACATAAGGCAAGATAACATTTGTATTTGCAGTTATTTGCATTTCTTAATCTTTCTGCCTCATCTTCCCCTCATCTTAGCCATGTTCCTCTCATACCCTGCTTTCAGTCCATGCAGTGAAGAATAAAAGAGAAAGGAAAAAAAAGAGAAGCATGCTACTTTTCCCCCAGTCTATTTGTATTCATAATTTTAGTATGAGTGGTTAGCCAACTCCATCCTTTCATAAAAGCTATATGCTTTATATCCATGATGTAAATGGCATGAAGAAATGAGTGGTCTACTAATATGGATGTGTATTTTCAAGTCTATAGACAGCATTTCTCTTTTCCTTCCCCTTCATTTTCTAAGTGGAGGAAGCGGAGACCAAACAGCAAAGCCAGAACCCTGTAAGTCTTGAAATCCATTTTCATGTACTGGTCCTCTTAAAGCACAAGACTGTTTAAATATAAAACAAGGAAACGTGGTTTGGTTGGGTTTTTTTGGGGGGGGAGGGGGTTGGTTTTTGTTTGTTTGTTTGGTTTTGTTTGTTTTTTTTCTGTGAAACAAAAAATACATGGTTGTTATGGCCCTGTAGTGCACTGGCCTCAACTAGGAACACTGGAGATGTCACTTTAACTCCCAAGCATACAGTGCAAAATGGCTTAGAGCAATTAAAACGTCCTCTGGTGAAAAAATACTAAGAATAAAGTAAACATTTTTCATGACAGGTAGAGTTTTAAAGTTTACATGAACTAACACATCAGATACAATTTCCTTTGTCACATAATGGATTTAATTTCTGACTAATGAGACAAACCAGTTTTTAAATATTAAGCTGGCTAGTGACATAAACAGTGCCTCTCATTTGCCCCTGTTCCATTTGATCGTTTGTAGTTACATAGCTTAATGCCGAACAGCACAATTCTGATCTGACTGAATTCTGAACTCAACCGACTATCTTTACACACAGGTAATTTGGACCAAGTTCTTTACTGGTATATGCATACTGGCAGATACAGGAGAAATCCGATTATTCAGTTGAATCATACTCATAATTTCAGAGGACATAATTTCAAAACTTAAATATTTTTAAATGTTACAGTAATTTAAATACTGACTCCTACTAATCAGAAGGAACCTGCTCACATTGGTCTTAGCAGAATTTCCCTCCTAGATAAGAGACTATAAAAAGAGTCAGGGTAGTATACTGCAATATAGAACAAAACTAAGATGACAGTTAACAGGGCTTTAAAACCATATATTTAAATTGAGGTTCTATCTAGTCCACTAGGGCCAAGCTCATATAATTTCCCACTGACCTCAGTGTCTCTGCTTTACCACTAGCTTCTTGAAATGGGAGTGGACTGGAATTTGCAGTCACAGTAACTAGCTCTTAAATATCCCACCTCTGGTGTGAGTGTCCCACTGCTGAATAGCCATACCACTCACAGTAATCACCAAACTATTTAGCTTAAAATGGATCAGTTCTAAGGAAAGCAACTGCATACCCAACAGATTTCCCAACTAAAACCTCCTGCCAGTGTGGGAACTGCAATTTACACCCACAGTCCCTGAAGTCTGGCAGAGATCACAACAGGACTTGTTCATCTCCAAAGTGAGTACAGACCAGAGGCCAATACAGGTGCAAGCACCATTGGTCCTTCACATCGCACACTTTGAATAAAATCTTTGCATTATTCAGAGATTGAGAGGGAATAGTCTTGTGGCCTAGTGGTAAGAACATTCCCCAAGAAGAACGCCTGCCTGGATTCCCACCTCTCCTCCAACCGTTCTATCCAATTGGAAAGAATGCCAGTGAGTAAGATGGTGAGCAGCTGATACACTTTCTCCTCTCAGAGCAAGACAGCTAGGGCACTAGGCTGGAAAAGGGGAATTGAGGGTTTAGTCTCACCAGACAGAAGGAATAGAATTCATCCACCAAATCATAAGAATCCTAAACTTCCAAAGCACTAAATTAAAAAAGCCCCTTAAACAACAACCACCTTCAGACATTCTTTGTCCTTCTCTAGTTATATAACTTAAATATTAATTTGTTTTTGTGAAAAAACATAGGAAGCAAACCATTCTGCTTTGCATCAAATGGAGGCAACATTTCATTTGCTTCAGCACACAGTACTATTTTAGCTTTTTTTTTTTGATGCAAAACAAACGAATTAAAATTTTATGTCAGTTCTCCATTCTTAAACCTCCTACCCCAGGGAGGTGTTCACTCAGGCTGAAAAATAATTCTTTTGCTCAACACTAAGCCTGATCTTATTCGCTTCTTTTTTCCCAATTCTTTGTCTTGCAATTTTGGGGGTTAATCTTTTCCTTGTGGCTCTTTTTCTATACCATGTTATGTGTCCAGCAGTTACTTCTTGGTTAATCTGGAGGTAGATGAAATACTGGCTTGCAGCTCAGCTGAGAACTAAAGGAATAGACAGAGGTTGTTTGAATTGGCTGGGTGTAGCCTGATGGCAAACATGAGCAATCTTCTGCCTGCTGTGCCTGGGATGTGATCAAGCAGGGGCAGTAAGTGGTACAGAAAGCAGCTGCTTACAATATCCACAGTATTGGGCAGAGCTAATACAAGATACAGTAATTTCTGCTTACCTATCCTCCCCTACTTCTTGACCCCATGTGGCTCTTGGACTATGTGGAGGTTCATTCAATGTTTCTACCCCTGCTGGACTGCAGTGCCATCACAAATTAGCTTAAAGATGTTGTTTATGCAAGATGTTTAAATACATTTCTAGCCAACAGTATTTTTATTGTGGATTTTAAAGTGCAATCAGCAACAAAGTGAGTATTTTAAATAACTAGACTGCAGTGGTTATTTTTGGCATTCCTTGCTGAAAGCCTCTTCTGGCAGAGATGAAAATACCTTAAGACGTTCACTCCTATCCACATAATATGAGGGACATTTCCTTACAATATTTGTCTATAAAAATCACACTAGATTGATGGGGTTTATAGTAAATCCTGCAGAATCGCACACTCCTTTTACAGTTTCCCTGTACATTAAAGTTGCTGGTTCCTGTTATATACCTAGTCAATGAACACAGATGTAGGGCAGTTCCTTTTCCTGTCTCATACAAATATTAGTAAATCATGTTTTTGAAGGATTTGAATTACTGTCTAGACTACAATTTATTTATTTTAAGCAACTTGAGCCAAAATTCTGGAGCTTGACAGCTCTGCAGGTTAAATTGGTACAAAATCCAGTTGTGAAATATGTCATTTCAATCTTCTTCCAGCCTCAATTCTGTGGCAGTTACACAGTGAGTAGTTTCTCTTAGAGGAAGAAAACCAAAATTATTCAGAAGCAAAGGGACATCCAGATCTACTCCATTTTTGTCAGAAAGCATTAAAGTAATGAAAAAACTCAGAGTGTTCTTTTAAAAATTATTTCTAATATATTTGGACTCTACAGCTTTGCAGAAGGCTGTGTGCTCATTCAGAGTCTGTGACATTAAAGGGGCAAATAAAAAAGAGGCAAAATAGTAAATTCTGACACACATCACTTTCAACTATTATAATCATTTTATAATGAAGGAGATGGAAAATACTATTTTTTTTCCCCAACAAAGGAGAATATATACATATCTGTTAGAACTCAGATATACTTATCCCCAACATAGCAGACTTTAAAACAGAGTAACACTATTGCTTTTGACACTGCTTCAGCATCAGTGCATGTCTTAAGTGTAATCAAAATTCTGGGCTCTTCCCCATAGTGGGAAAAATACCACTGTACAACTGGCTAAAACCAATGTCTCATAGAGAAGGCTTTGCTTGTGGTGGCTACAAACATGAGTAGGAACAGCACATAAGCCCTTCAAAGATGCACACCAGCTGTGTAATGCTGGTGGCCAAGTTACCAATGTGTTTTCCCAGCACTGCTTCTGCTGTGAATGAAGAGCTATGGGGGGATCACCCTGAGCTGAATCCCTAACACTGGCACTTCAAAGCATCTTCAGACTGGATTAATTCTTTTCATTGACTATAATGCTGAGGCTCTTGAACTGGAGAGCTCCCTTTCAGGGCCTGCAGGCTGGCAGCATGGCATGATCTCCCTAACTGTCCACCTGCTCATCCTGTAAGCAGCAGCATCTATACAATTTCACTGGGCTGAGCTAAACACTCCTAAGAGAAAGCTTTGCATGTGGGCCAGTGCTTACATCCATAGAAATATAACGACTAATCTTGAAATGACATTTTGCTGATGAAAGACAAGAAACAACTGTCTGGAAAACAAATGACATCTCAAAGAACAAAATCAATTTTAATGCAAGTATTCCACTAAATAATTACAGTGATATTCCAGAAGATAGAAAATACCAGAATTCAGCCTCACTCTGCAGCCTAAATCCTGCTGTCAGCGTTTCTCTCAACTTTCATATAATCCTTTTTCTGTTTTCTTCCATCCCACATGCCCATGAGGAGTATATGAAAACATACGGCCAATTACTAAATCCAGTATGTAGTACCTACCAACTCAAAAATCCTCTAAAAACAATGATGTCCTGATCTTGTCTGCATGTGAACTGAAATATGTACTATGGCTAAGATGCCACAGAATTTGCAACAAGACAGATCCTTTTTCGTAGCATGGCTGTCTGCTATGGTTTAAATTAACACATTGTAATTCAGAGAAATTTAAAACTGCACCACTTTTTTAACTAAATAGGTCATTAAATATATAATTTATATAAATATATAGGCATTTGTTTCTATGTTATAAAGCTGTGCACACAATATTGATTATTCATTCTACTATGGCCTTACATTTTTAACATTCTGGAGATCTTAATTCTGAGAGCAAATAGTTGCATGAAAACACTGTCAGCAGGAGCTGAAAAGTTGCCGTTTGGCATAGGTGGGACAGAATTTTATTATAAACATACTTGTCAGGACTTTTAGAATTGCTTAGCACTAGCCCTCCTGCTCATTTGAACCATCATTACTGGAGGGGTCAGATAGAAATAATTGTAGTTAAGCTTATCTAGCATTTTGATTAAAAGATTCAGTTTATAACTCTTTTAGGTTGCAATTTGCAGGTATTTGTATCTCCTTTAGCTTTCCCCTTTTTCATTTTTCAGCTAAACTGGTCCAGCTAATACTGAGATCAACAAAAAATGTCTTGGTTTTGTCTTGGATTGTTTATGTTTGGGGAAAAAAAAAATCAGTGTATCAAAAAATTTCTAATGCAGTCATGCTCAGGGGTAGGATCTGAAAACCTTATGCAAATACAGAAAAAGAAGGTCATTTCCCCTTTTTCCACTATAATCTGGAACCAAATTCACTATGCCTAAGCCTCCTCTTTCTGCCGCCAGCAAGTATCTATAAAAATAACTGGCAAAGCATATTCTTCTAATGGCTTGTGTACACAGGAGAAGGTGGTTTGCCACGATATAAAGGATGCAGCTCTTCTCAGGAACTGTGTATGGATCTGTATGATTCTGCTTGGGGTATTTCTAGGTGACCTCTTGAGGTCCTTTCCAGTCTCAACACTTCTGTGTTTTCCTGGCATGGTGGGCCATGTGAGGGTGCATATTTAAAAATTACACTAAGAAACCTTTAAGGTTGAAAAATTAAGCACTCAAAAGCTACAAAATACCAGACTTCTAGTACGCAGACTTATGGTACCAGGATAACCATCCTTAATGACAAATGCAGAAAATACTCCTGTCCTAGTGCACAGTGGAGTTGGGGAATGTCAGGTCTGTGGAAACAGGTGGAGCATCTTGTTTCATTTGCTACAGAATGAGTAGCAAATCAGAAAGGGACTGCCAAGAATGGATGCTCATGTTCAGGCACTTAACACAGCCATAAAAACTCTTACACAATTTTGCCCTGCTATAGAATTCCTATTTAGAGCATGGCAAGTCACTTGAATCACATCTATTACAGGTTACTAATATTATAGTCCTTTCTTCATGGCATTTGCAACTACAGCTGGAGCTACTGGGAGCTTGGCTTTGATCATACTAAAGTGCTATAAATACTGAGCTGGGTTCTGAGTGTTTCTTGTTAATGATTTATCACTACCAAATGACTTTGACAGTAACATCTTTATATTCATTTTCCATTTATAAGATAGGCAAGCTAATACTTTTTAACTTGACAAGAATGTTCTGAAAATACATTACCAATGCCTACAAAACACTTTGATATTAATGAGTATCATGGGAAAATCCAGGAGGAAATTTAAACTTTTATGTTCACAATAGGGTTTAAATACTGTGCAGCAGGAAAGGCATGACACTGAATTATGGAGAGGAAGCTAATGAACAAAAAAGCCTGTTTAATGAGCACTGACCATGTTATATAGTGAAGGAAGCAAGACACGAATAGTGACTGCCTTATTATCATGCAATGATATGATTGGGTGATGTGGGATCATGTAATTAGGATGTAATCACAGAATCATAGAATAGTTCGGGTTGGAAAAGACCTTAAGACCATCGACAATCTTGTAATGCATGCATAAAAAGTAGGGAGTCTTCCTCCAATTTTTCATGCTTTCTAACTTACATTAGCATCTTTTTTTCCTTTCAGGAACACATCTTATTACTAGTGAACTTGGGCCAATACTTCTGAAAACCTCACCCAGTATTCTGATTCAGTTGCAAACTGGCTGATACAAATTCACTAGTGAGGTATTGTTTTTTTTGCCACTTGTTCACATGAGAAAACAGAAAAGCAAGCTCTGACAGACCCTGAAAGGCACAGTCTCCTGGAAAGACCATGACAGATCAGAAAAATTGAGAGGGATACTGATATATCAAACCCTACCAGTCCCTGGTATACAGGGCTACAGACCTAGTCCAGGCTGACAAAAGGCAAGTATCTCTTCTTCAGCTCTCTGGCACAGTTCTACTCAGTCTTTACAAAGCTGCAGCTCAAGATTTAAGCCAATTCCACTGAAACAGTTAGCTGTGAAAAAGCTTTTTTTAAAAAGTCAAGATTTTGTTTCAGAACTAGACCTTTCTAAATAGCCTGCTATAATCTCACAATTACCATCCCAGGCTACTTGGCTACAGCATTACACTTCTTTGCATTTGGAAGAGCTAGAAGCACAGTTATTTTAAATACGACTATGGGAACGTATTTGTGAATGTGCTGTGGGTTTAGGTGTACTTTGCAGCAAGCTCTGCAGCCTTGAAAAATTCACCATCCCTACTTACAGGTCTGCCAGCAAAAGTTCATTATACTTCCACTATAATTTAAACTCCACAGGGCACAAGATAAATTCAAGTTTTTCGTTCTATTAAACCTTGAGGCATTTAGAAACATTGTTCTAGGAAAAACTCTAATCCTTCTGTCATCATCTCATATGCAAAAGGGTCATATAATTCCTAGGGAATGTAGGAGTTTGTGGAAACAAATAATAAACAACATAAATAAACATCCTCTCCCATTTTACCAATGGAGCTGATGTTGCACTGCAATTAACAGCACACAATGTTCACTTTTAATAAACACTGGGAATGAAAATTACCATAAAGGCAATTTTTCTCTGTGCTTTTTCTTTGGCCTTGTGTAGCCTCTTAAAACTGAGGGGCAATCAGGCTATACAATATCCTGTGGCATTTCTTGATGATACTCAGAGATGACTCTTTTGACCTTGTACTTGGGAGCTAATATCAGCTAAGCGTGTTTACACAGACCTAATGAATTAAAAAACTTAAGTGGAAGAAAAACTATCACAAAAATACTGGCCCTATGGAAAGCACAAAACATGTTTCATATCATTTAATGCACTTCTTTTTTTTTTTTTTTTTTTTTTGGTCTCTCTCAAAGCTACGAAGCAGGAAAGCAAGATGCCAGGAGTCAGATCTAACACTCACTGAAGCCATGAGAAAGACCTGCTTCTTCCTTTGTAATCAGTGCTAAGTCACAGACAGTCAATTATTTTAACCTGCATAGAACAATTTCCAATTCTGTGGGCTAATGAGTACCTACAACTTCATTATCCCAGCTTTGAGTATGCATCACTCAGGGTTTTCCTTTGAAGACACAGCTGCCTGTTTTCCAAGTAGTAAAAAAAAAAAGTAGTCTGTGGGCAGCAGAATCAGGACTAGAGCAAACATTTCTATTCTTTAAAAAAGAGGAATTCGTATTCTTAATTTGATAGCTTTAGTGGGTTTATCATTAGATCCATTACTAGATTCATCAATGGATCTCTTATTGTGGACCTTCAAATTACTGCAAGCCATAATTCTCTATGCTTTATTTGTTTTGATTTTACAAGGACAGCCTGGCTCCCCTCACATTCCTGCATTCATAGGAAGGTAGAAAAGTTGCTACCATTGCCAACAGAGTCACAGCCAACATTCTATTATTCACTCCCTCTTATCCATCCCAAGTGCACTTTCTACAGCAAACCCACACTACTAAAATTACAAATCACCTTTGGCCAAAACAAAGTTGATTTCTTGTTTCTGGAAAATAACAACAATGAAGAAAATAAGGCATTTTGGGGCATTTGAAATTTAATCTTCATCTACCTACATTTGCAGTCCTTCTGGTTTTTGGCAAGTTCAAAGCCAGGCCTACATTCACAGGCAACCCCACCTTTGGGCGTCTCCCGGCAGATGTGTGCACACCCATGATCTTTATTCATACAGTTCATACCCTCTGTAAAAAAAAAAAAAGAAAGAGAAATGGAAAACATCAGTACTGAAATAAAATTATAAAATAATTATACGCATCCAGTTCTCCAGTAATTTTAATTGTAATTTTTATTTTGCCTCTGGACTCTGTTCCGCAAGCCAAAAGAATGAAGCTGAAAAGAGGTATACAATCAACAAAACAGCGTAATAAAGAACAAAACTCCTCTGGGGCAAATGCAATGAGTACTGCTGTGGAATTTAGAGTAACTGTGGTGCTTATAGGAACACAGGACTTGTGATTTTCCTATCCCATATCCATATTCTAATCTTTCACAAAAACATCATGGATTTAAAGGATACTCCATGAAGTTACCTGCCCCACAGGTAATTACCAGAGTTGAATAACTGACCTCACTGTTATTTTTACCTTGTATAAACGTAATCGTTATCGTCTGGTGCACTTTCATCTGCCTGTTAATGTGTTTTATATTTTCTAATACACAGAATTTACCAAAGATCATATGCTATCATTTTTGCTTGGATCTGTTTCTTTGCTATTTGTTATACATCTCAATTATCTGGGTCATCCACCGTTAGCGTAGCCCATCTCCAACAAACCTACTACCACTTTTCTCTTTCAGTATATTAAAAAAGTGTAAGAGCTGTTCAACAAATGTCCAAGTGCAATAGGTGGATTCCTGTTACTGTTTATGCCAAGGCATAGTATCAACCAGGTCTCTCTTAATCATCATAGGGCCGATTTTAGCTTTCCAAACCATGTAAGTGATTTAGATACTGAATGTGCCTTATGCTCTTGGACACTTACATTACTGACTTAATTCAAACCCCACATATTCACAGAAATCTTGAACACAGTCCTCATGGGTCAGCATCTAGCATTCCTTGTGTGAACGAAGGCAAGCCAGATTTGCATTACAAAGCCTTCTCAGACTTCCCCTTGGATATCTGACCTGGAAAGGAGAGACAAATTCTCCGAGAGTACACTGACAGAGAATTCACAGTGTAACTTGGTTTACCACTGTGGAAACAGTGTGTATTCTCCGAAACGCTGGTACATGCAACATCAGTATGGACTCAGCAACTCATTTGTCACTTTGGAACATGGCTACTGCTACCTATTCTGGGATAATTTCTCAAAACAGCTCTGGTGTAGAATGTTCAACTTAAACCTACAGTGACAATGAACTGTAAAGAAATGTTTTCTTCAGGGCTGTTGCAAAGGTTTTGCTTCCAAAAGTAAAAACAATCACTGCCATTCCTTTTTATTCTTACAGAAACAGGAACATACCTGCCACCCTGGCACCTACACAAACTGCCTTTAGGGTGAGGCTGGTCTCACATTGAACAGAAGTTTCTCTGGACACAAAATCATTTTTAATTGAACACAAGTTAGTGCATAAATCAGCTACTAAGAAACTTTGGGTAGAAACATCTGAAGGAGGAAATGCTACAGAAAGTCAGCCAGAGATTCCCTCAGGTTGACAGAAGCTAAAAGCTTCAGGAGTTATTTGCACTGCTCAACTTACCTCAGAAAGGTTTATATTAGCAAAGCAATGAAAAACACACATTACCAAGGTATTTTTGCTCATTTCTCCTACCAAAAATATCAGGACCTCAAATTGCACTGCCTTTGAAAACCAACATTATATTGGCTGTCTAAACACATACATGTCTGTCTTCTAAATTCTCCTCTGTATTGGCCTTGATGAGTTTAAAAATGTTGCCAAAGCACGAAATAACATTATTCTCTGTAAACTGTATCATGGACAACAGATATTATTGGAAGATACAATACATACTACACACTATAAACTATATACCATAGATCGAAGAGAGGTATGAATGTTTTGTTTGGCTGAACAGGTACAAGAAACCTGGGAATGGCCTTATTGAACATTTTGAGGTATTTTATAATCTCTTTCTCTCCACTTATCCCAACAGAGGATTTCAGACACAATGTGTTTGACAAACTGCATTCCTGCACACTACACCATGTTCAGAAAAGGATCTGGGAAAGATAACACATGGCTGATTGAGTCACACTGCTGAGGTAATGAGAAGAGAGGAATTAGATGAAAGAAGATATTTAAAGGCCCAGAAGTGTAATGAAGCAAGTGATACTGAAGATACTGAATAAATGCCATTGTCAAAATCACTTGGAAGACAGAATCTGTGCACTGCTAAAAATATCAGGAGAAATCAAAGATCTCAATTACCGCATTTTGAAGCAAAAGATAAAGAGAATATCATGCTGGTATTTGTGTGTAAGAGCACAGTATTTCAGTTACTGTATTAATCATCTTAGTTATTGTATTCATTAAGCAGTTGGAGCTGTAGAAAAAATATTTGAGTTCCATGTTTAGCTGGAGAACACCATAAAAATCTCCTACACTTGAAAACCATTTTTTCGGTAAACATCAGTTTTCTGATGAAATTAAAGACCATTATTTATCAGACAAGAGCAAGGAGCTCATCCACAAGAAAAGTTCTCGTTTTTATGTTAGTACTTTTGCAAATCCCTAAGAATTAAAAAAAAAAAAAACCTGAACAAAATTTTGTTTAAGCCTGAAAAAATATATAGATAAAAATGCAGCCAATACATATTTTGGCTTGTTTAAAAATGTTTAAAAACAAATTAGTGCTAATTTGCAAATAGTTTTAATCATTTGAAATTTTAATTTTTCAGCAAATGCAACAGTTGGCCAGACATCCCTGTATCAATCTACATATATAAAGGATTTATGAATCATATACTTTTTTTGCAAGCTGGCTCTTCAGATAATACTGAACCTTTTATGATATATATAAATAGGAGAGACAAATACTCCTAAAATTAATTTTTGCAGTAGTCTCTTTAGTAGGATACGGTCCAAAAAGGCACAATCAAAGTGAAACAGATTGATTTGTAGAAATGGCTGGAAAACGAGTAATTCAAGTGAAAAACACCATCATGGAAAATTTGTTTGGGATTCTTCTGCTCATTTAAATACGTTTGAAGTTTTTCTCTTAATTACCATAAGACCCAATTCAGCAGAGGGGCCCCAGCACCAAGAGGACTGCCCTGCGCTTCACATGTTGCTCCTTCCTAGAGCTGACCAATGTAATGCAGAACCAGGGAAGAGAGGGGAAGCACAGCCTGCACAAAATATCAGGCAAGGTATCTTCCATCTGAGCCTTAGCCAGGAAGTATTTGCAGAACTACATTTTTTACTGCACCGATGTGTGGCCCCCCACTCTCTCTCCCATCGTGAATGCAATGACATCACTCTGGTTTTGAACACAAGAATTTGCCCCTAGCTGCTTCTCTTGATTTTTGCAGTGATATGTGTGTCCCAGCTTCCAGAACTGATGGACTATGAGTCAAATGAAAACCATAGTTCCTAAATCAAGGGAAATACTAAATGTTGATAAAAGTGAAGTCGGTGCACCTAAAAATCCTTACTTTATTGTCATGACACTAAAGTGTCCAGTGTTGAAAGGTTCTAGGTTTTTTATGTTAGTTGTTAAGAAAAGTAGTATCTTAAATCTATATGATGCTACTCAAGGTAGTCTCTAAGGCCAGCACAAAAACGGGTGCATATTCTCTTTGGCAGTGCTGGCAGGCAGCAAAAGAAACTTTTCAAACACAGACGCATTCTCAGCAAATTCACCTAATAAAAAGAGAGCAAACCAGAATTCAGTGGAAAATAGAAAGAGAAATGCCACTTAAGAAAGGAAAACACTAATCTAATTAACTTAAATCCTCTCTCAGTGTTTTAGACATGACTTGAGAAACTCCTACTGCATTCCTGGATTTTCTCTTACTTTCACTTAGAAAAGACTGTTCATGGGAGAATGGCAGACATTGTTGCATGACCCACAATTCACGTTCATTTTTGTTCCTGGGCTAGGAGAGATTTGGGTGTAAGTCTACCACATTAGCCCAGTCTGCCAACCAGTTATCACAAACCTCTTAATAGTGCTGTTCTGCAAAATGTTCAGCCTGATACAATGACCTCTCCATTGTATTATGATCTAAAAAATGTTTTCAGCTCAGTGGCTCTGAAAGTGCTTAAATCAGGCTGACTGTGACAACTGATGTACTGATGAGCCTTTGTTTTTCATTAAGACTGCCTGTTCTCATCTTAATTAAGACTTCTAGCAATCATTTTACTCCGTGTTTCTTCATTTATGCTTACACTATGACACTATGTTGTCATGATTTCACTCTGTATTTATATTGCTATTTTTTATAACTTCCAAATAAAAATGATGATTGCGAATACTATCTAAAAAAGACTCTTTACATTGCACTAAAGACATAATGCAGTAATAACTTTTAGAATATTGTCAGACATATATGTGGTTGAATGTGGTAAGAAAATACAAGAATTCTTGAACTTGACACATGTATGTACACTTATGCTCAATCCTCAAAACTACATAATTGGATTTTCTTTTTTGTTGATGTTAATTTTAGCACCAGCTACACAGTGAAATCTCTTATTACAGTTGCATTCTTATTTAACAAAAAAGAGAGCTGTATAAAAATAATTTAAAAAGTTGCAAAAGTGATTTATGAAATTCATATATGGCACATTATTTGCATGATTCTGTTCCAGAAACATCCAGAAGAGTTAAAAGACATTAAATATAAGTTATATGCATGTCATTGAATTGCTGGACTTAGATAAGCCACAGTGTTTAACTGTTTATGAACTGCTTTACACACTTTTTATGAACATACCTTGTATGTAAAGTAAAGCATAAATCTTTATAAAACAAACAACAAGCAATTGCTGTGGCTAGTTTCCCTCCATCAATCTTAGTTATAGGGGATAAACAGTTGTGCTTGAGCAGGGGATCCATGTGGTGCTATGAAACTGCTACTGGTGATATTCAGGAATTTCAGGACTTTTGTCTTTTGGAAAACTACTTATTTAAGAAATGGTAGAGTTCAACTGTATCAGGATCAACTGATACAGTTAACTGTGTCAATATGTATTACATGCTATAGCAAAATAC